CAAGTAAGCATAGGAACGAATGGCATAAACTGGAGAATATTCCCAAGTCTGAAACCCCTTCCCATAGATGAGGTAGTGTGTCTGAAAGTACAAAACAGGTGAATTCAGGGTTATATTGGCCAAAAATCCTTGTTAAAAGGAGGCAGGTGAAGTTTTTAAGCAACAATATTAATGAGACAACAGTACACAAAAAAGCTAAAACTCTCAACAAGACTTGCAACTAATAGATAAGAATCAAAATTACACAATATTGGAAAATATTAGGACATTATAAATTTTACAAGACTATTGTTTGGCCAACATTAAAAGTTTGAATTTTACCTTCTACTTATTTTTTAAAATACTTTCTAGCCCATACAGTGATGCTCTAAATCTTATGTTTTCCTTAAACCACCTTCTTGCTATTTATTTTTTTATGAAAAATGAGATTAGAAAATTTCACTTCTGAATTTTCTATAATAGGAAGTCAACAGATTTAAAATGTACATGTCAAGAAATAGAATATAAGCACACTATTAGTAACAATGTTTATTTTAGTAAACATCAGAAGAAATAACTAAGACAGTTGAACGAACTGGGATTTGAACATAAGTGGAACAGAGAGCTACTGTTTTTTCCTTAAAGCTCTGTAGTAACAGTTAACTTTAAAAACTACCTCAAAGTATTATTTTGATTAAAAATGTTTAAAAAATTATAAATTACATCTTTACAATTTTTTTAATTAATTTTTTTCCTCACCTGAGGACAATTTTTTTCATTGCTTTTAGAGAGAGAGAGGGAGAGAGGAAGGGAGAGAAACATTGATGGGAGAGAGAAACATCAAAGTTAGACAAAAACATTGATTGGTTGCCATCTGCACATGCCCAGACCAGGAATACACACCTAGAAGGGGGATAGAACCAAAACCTAGGTATGTGCCCTGACTGGGAATTGAACCCGCAACCCTTTGGACACCAGATGATGCTCCAACCAACCACACAAGCCAGGGCTTTATTGATTTTTTTTTTAGAGACAGAAAGGGGGGGGGGAGAGAGAGAGAGAAACATTAATTTCTTGTTCCCATTATTTACTGCATGCATTGGCTGATTGCAGGAATGAACCTGCAACCTTGGCATATCAGGATGATGCTCTCACCAACTGAGCTACCTAATTATGGCTACAAATTACATCTTTTTGTAAAATAACCAAAAACCCTATAGCTTTCAATAGTTACTACTGCTAAATCATCAGCTTAGAATACAAAAGTGAAAGTAAAGTTATTACTAGTAGTTACATGTGTATACAATATTTATATTTTGATTGGTAAGGAGGTCCCAGGCAGTGAAATCAAGAACAAGAACAACAACAAAAATACCCAAAGAAATCACCTACTGGTTCCCAGTAGTTGAATGTTTCATCACAGTCAGAGATGTTGCTCAGGAGAGCAGCACATAATCTTGCGGAGAGCAAACATTTGAAAGCAGTAGATCCTTCAGGTGCCCAAACTTGTCCTGCTTTGTTCCCAGATAACCTGCTCAGAAGCAAATAAATAAATAAATAAATAAATAAATAAATAAATAATAAAGTATGTGTCTGGAAGGACCTACTACTAACTAGGAGGACTAAAACTAAGCCAAAAAAGACAAGAATGGAAAGGGACATTGAAACACTGAAGTATTCACCTACAAAAGCGAACAGTTAGTTGTTCTGAGTAGATCAACTTTAATAATCCCTTCCATTTCCTGTTTTTCAGGTGTAAGCTAATTCATACACTTGAGTTCCAAACATCTATGGCGCTCCATTTACCTCAAGTCAACTAATCACTCACTTGAAGACCACAAAGCTCTCATCCTGTTTCTTCTTTTTACAAGATCATGGCTTTCCATGGCTTTATTCATTTGTCTATTTGTTCCAATGTACAGAGGCCTAACATGTGCAAGGTACAGTAATCTCTTCGAAATCCGTATGTTGGCAGCTCCTTTAATGCAGTCCTAACCTGCAGTTCCCGGGCTTGGGAAGAGAGGTGATTGCTGGTGCTGGAGGAAGGGTCATGACTTTGGGGAGAATGAAGAAAACAGTGAGGGACAATCGAGAAAGGTATCCTCTTTCCTCCTGCCAACAAACACCAAGACGCCAGACCACTACTGGGCCTGGAGCATCACAGACCCGCACCCCAGGATTTCTTTACAGCAAGCAGGGGACCCCAGGTGGGAACTCTAGGAGGCTGACACGCCCAGGAAGAGTAGAAGGACCTGCATGCAAAGGTCGGGACCTTCCCGCTAGAAAGCTGTTCCGAGAGAAGCACCGCAGGGCTTCGCGCGACCCTCCCCTCCAAGGGGCGCCCGCCCGGCCACGCCCCCGCCGCGCCCGCACACCTACTCAGTCCGGGGCTCCGCGCTGCCCGCTTCCCGGCTGCTCAGCAGCTCCCGCAGCTTGTCAGCAGCCCAGCCTGTATCTCCGCCACTGCTCCCGCTTCCCTTTAGGCGCTGCCGAGCCCCTCGACTCGCCATGGCCAACGTGGAAGAAAAAAAGCTAGAGTTCTGCACCCTACAAATACGTGAGAAGAGAGACTGCTTTGGCTGGCAAACGGTGTCCGCGGAGGGACAAAAGACCTGGACATGCGCAGAAAAGACTAAATTATGGCGTTATGGGGTCAAACGGGGCAAATCCCTGAGTAGAAAAGAAATAGGACCTGAGACTACTCTTTACTATCACAGCTATTCCTTCTACATACTTGTAACTGTGGCCTTTCCTCCCTCCAGCTCTTCCTTCATTTTTCAGCATTCTCCACAATCCTACAAAAACCATTCTTCAACTCCCCGTTTAAAAGAAAGCACCAGTAGAAAGCAGTAAACTCTACAAGGTGAGTACGTGGAGATATTCGGTTAAAAATCATAGCACTGCTGTTTACCAAGGGGTAAATCCTTAAAAGGTCACTGACCACTTGCCCTGCCTGTATTTTGTTAGGAATAGTAAGGAGAGCCCGTAGCTAATTAACTGCTTTGGTGAGACACAGCTGTAATGGCAGAATACAGAGTGAGGGGGAAAAAGGTGAAAGAAATTCAATCCAGCATATTCACTCAGACACCCATGGCCTCTGTTGCCATTATGGCATTATGGTAAGCATTTTAACAGATTTTATCCTTTTAAAATTTAATACTCATTAAACAACCTTGTTATATTGAGAAGGAAACTGAGGCCCAAGGTCGAATAGCTAGGAAATGGTGCAGCCATATTCCAATCCAGGTCCAATTCAACCTAGGAGCCATATTCCAACTCAGGACTTAATACAAAGTCCATGCTCATCCAACCAGATCAAGAGAAAGCCCCTGGTTTCATACACACATTTTTACACAGGCATCTTCATGATATCATGCCTGTGATTCTCAGGAGTCATTCACCTGCTCCTGACATTCTCCCTACTCCCCCAGTCACAGCTCTACCCCACACTATGAAACTCTGTACCAGTAACTGTAACAAGTTTATAGGGGGACCTCTAATATTGACAGAGTCCCAGGTTATGATTTCATACTAAAAATTCCCAAGTATTGAAAATGGCAGTTGATCATATTGCTCAATTTCCACACGCAATTATTACTTACCAGGTTCAGATATCCCAGCCTAGCTCTATCTCATACATCCATCTCTTTTTCAGTTCAAATTCAGGCCCCTCTCTTTCTACTGAGGACGACTATGATAGCATCCTTACAGGGATCTCCCATCTCAAGTTCATCCTGTGCAACATTGTCCAATTAATTTTCAAAAGCACTACTCTTGTGTCCCTTCCTTGGTTAAACATCACAATTTTCCTATGCCTGTCAAAGTACAAACTACTTATTTTAGCAATCAGTCTTTCATGAACTAACTCCAGTCCCACCTACTTTTCTAATCTTCTACTACCTGCCTATACACATTTTACATTCTAATTAACTAGCTTGAAAAGTATCCTAAATACTCCATTAGCTATACCTCTGCTCAAGTATGCCCTCTGTGTGGAATGCATGGCCTCCCTGCCTAACAAGCCTCCCATGACACCCCTGCCCTTGTTTTAAGATCCAGCTCAAATGCTGCCTCAGTCATCTACCAGGCACTAATGGGGATGGAAGAAAGTTATAAATCGCTTACCTGCCTTTAATGAGCTTGCAGTCTACCTGGAGATCTAAGCAATACATGTCTGCATATGAGATTCCTTGATGTCCTATGCCAGTTTTCGCATTTGCTAATGACTCTATTATTCCAGTTGCTCAGGTCAAAAACCTAGGGATCCTGCTTGATTCCTTTATTTCTCTAACTCTACACCCTCCACCCATGCACGTTTAATTCATCAGCAAATCCTCCTAATAACTATCCAGTCCAACAACTTCATACACACTGGCCTAGGGTCACCATGAGACACATTTGCACTATAATAGCCTCCTAATTTGTTTCTCTGCTTCCATTTCTTGACTTTCTATTTATGTTCTTCTCCAAATATAAGAATAAATAAGACAGTTATTTCCTTCACAGTTTATAATTCCAATTGGTGAAGCCTAACTTAATTAACAGAAACATTTATTAAATCACATCGAGTACCCCATTCTCCAGAGTCCTGAGCTGAGCCAATCTCCTCCTAGTGTTCCTTACAGATGTTTACAATATAAGTCCCCCATATCTAGGGGAGCAAATTTTAGAGTTAATCACAGTTGGGGGATTACTGTTGAAGACTAAGTAAAGAGAAGTAACAAAGTGGCAGAAGGAACCTGGGCTGTAGAGTCCGATGGATCCAAGTATGAACTCTAAATCTGACACTTATTAGTTCCGACTTTAATAAAGAGTAGTCAACAACTGATTAAAAATGATGATGATGATACCAATATTAATTATGGAGCACTTGCAACTTACCCAAACTAATAAATATCTAAAAATCATTCTTGTAAATAGATTTGAGAAGAGAAATTGACAGTAAGAAAAATATGTATATATATAAAATACTGTCCAGAAGGTATCCAACCATGTAAAATGAAAAATAATTTATTGCAGAAGGTACAAGATACAAGACACATTGTATATAGGACAACAACACCTCAGGCCCCTCAAAACAGGCACTTTGGGACCTCACATAATTCTCCCAATCACCATCAGCTGCTCTGTCCTATTTTCCTGAATCTCAGTGATGGTCTGAAATCTCTGCCCTTTCAAAGGGTGATTTTAGTTTTGGGAAAAGCCACAAGTCACAGGGCATGAAGTCTTGGCTGCAGGGGAGCCGAGTCACCTGGGTGATTTGATGTCTCACCAAAAAACTCTACACAAGACCTGAGTGGGTATGTTGTGATGATAAAGCTGCCAATCACCAGCTGCCCATAACTGCAGCCTTCTGAATCATCCAAATGGTTTCCACAGAGGAATAGTCAAGCTTAATGCAAAATCTGATGCAGGTTCATTGCTATGCTCACTCAGTCATTTGGAATGCAACAATCACACAGTACATGTGTGACTCAATGGCATCTACCACTCCCACTGATTATGGTGAAGTTGTCATTGTTCACGGACTCTCAGTTATAAATTGTTCTTTTATCCCACACTCATGAGGATCACATTGAGAAATAAATTTACTAAACTACCGAGGTGTCACATGTAGTCGTTGTTGAATCTCTTTCCTAAACTGGGACTGCATTGATGCTACCTGCTGTCGGGTAAGGGCCTTGTCACAAGCCTTGTAGGTCAGTCTATAGCAGAGACTGACCTGTTCAGTCTCAGGATGCTGAAAACGACTAAGGAATTGTATGGATATGACAGTGTCCTGGGACACTGCTCGGGCCACAGTGTGAAACTCTAGTTCATCAAATCCTTTCCTCTCATCTAACCAAAAACTAATATCATGCACATAGCTTGGAGGATATAGAGAATAGCTTTTAAAGGGTTCTATTTTTCCAGGGACAAAATTCTTCAGGAAACGTTTATCAAAGGTCCACAACATCCTCCAGTCAGAGATACCCCAGACAAGCATGGCTAATAGGTCCAAGTTTATTGACACAAACACAAAACTCTGGTCCTCATGTATAATGCTTGGAACAGATGTGGTAACAGACCCAATAATCAGATCCTTGGCACAATCTAGGCCAAAATTATGAGACTTCACATCAATTATATAATCTTTCCCATTTGGTTGAAAGATGAATTCCACTGAATTGCTCTGTTTGGAGCCCTCCGGCAATGTCTGAGTCAGAAGGCTATCTAGAATGCCCTTCAGGTGGTCCAGTAGGGACTGAAGACAGTCATCCTTTAGATTTTGATTAAACCCAAGGATAAATAAAGTTTCATGAAATGCTTGCATTGTGAAAGGCGAGATGTGGCACTTCCGAAAGACAGGTCCACTGAGGATGTGTAAAGAACCTGGGAGGAAGTCTGGTGCTTGGATGACAGCCTGAACATGAACTAGGAGAGAAGGTCTAAGCCAGATCTTGGCTTGGTCATAGATTCCTTCATGAACTTCTTCCTTACCAACTCTTCCAGGGCTCCTGGAAAGGCTAAGTTCTGAAAATGACACTAGAAAGTCCTCCATGTCTTGTGGTGTCCCACCTGTCAGGGACTCAGAATTTGAGTTCTCCTCGAGGGGATTAATCCAAAAGGCAGCTGATAGAATGTCACAGTTCCAGGAAGTGAGAACTCTGGTTTCTCTCTCTGGCAGCAAAGGGAAGGAACACATCAGCCTTTTTAGAGGGAAAGCTTTGCCCAATTCAGCAATGAGTTTGTCATTGATGGTTTTGATAGGATGACGGGAAGATGCTTCTAGGAAACCCCTGTTTAAACACAAAAACAAAATAACCTTTTTAATTTCAATAATTATAATGTAGTTAGAATTAAAAGTACACATAACTGAATAGAAAAGAATTATCCCTAAGTTGATCCTGAAAAAAAAACAAATTGTCCACCAAAAACAGAGATATCATGTGTTTCAGAACTCTAACAACCACCATCCCTACAACATACCAGAAAAATTTTAATTCTAAAGAGGATTATATAGGCCAGGCTGACAAGTATGCGAAGTACCAACATCATTAACAGTACATGTAACAATATATATGGTTGCCATCAAGCCAATCAGGATACAGCTAGAGATAGAAGTGATTTCTAGTAAAATATCAGTTACCTATTCAACTTTCCTACAAGTGCTTCTGGTTCTGGAAAGGAAAACCACTGGCCACCCAGTCTGATCCTGAAGATTCTTGGTTGCAAACCTTCAAAGGGTAAGCTCCGAGTGAAGACGTGGTTCAAAGCACCTTCTACATGAAAGGATTTATTTTGACTCCTGGCAAAATAGACACCAAATGTGAAGTCTGTGATTATTAAATAAAGTCTTCCTGAGACTGATCAGGAAATTAGCAAGGAAAAAGTTTGCCTATGAGATTTTTTTTTATCATTAGAGATGAAAAGGCTTAGATTTCTGTTATTACTTACCTATATCCAGTGCACTTGTACCCTGGCACAGCCTCACAGCTAAAGGAATGCACATCACTTAAAATGAATCCTCCAAGAGCTGCCATGGCAACCACTTGCCAACTGTTGTGCCATTCTCTTGTGGGATTATCAGCAGGAGTCCCACCTTGTCCTCTGCACAATGCCACATGTACTTCTCCTTCCTCTGCAAGAACATCTGCACAGCTAATGGGAGGGTGGGGGAGGACACCAGCCATTTATCAGAAACAAATAGAAATTATCACAGGAGTTAGATATATAAAGATGGTTTGGCTATCAAATAATTGACACCCAATCATACCCATTGGCAAAGGTCTGTTAGACTTCAAACATGCAAGAAAGTAGCTAGAATTAAGTAAGAATGTAAATTTAATGTTCAGCTCATAACTGACACTAGCAGCTGACCATGGTATGATCCACCTTGGTATCTGCAATGTTCACCTACATATCATAGAATGGTCAATGTCTGCAAAATTCCTATACAAGATTCACTGATCAGGCTATTCTTCCCTGTGGAGGGAGTTGTTCTTTTTACTCCCCTCCTGCCTGTTAAAATTCTATACTTCAAATGTTAATTTAAAATACTGCCTCTGTGAAAAGTTTGTTAACCATGACCTAAAGAGACCTCTGATTGTATCACATGTTTTGGTATAATAGTGTAGAGCAGAGATTTTCCACCTTTTTCATCTCATGGCACACATAAACTAATTACTAAAATTCTGTGGCATGCCAAAATATTTTTTGCTAATCTGACAAAAGTAGGTATAATTTTGCTTAATTCACATCTGATGGCTACTGTTGTGTTGGCTGATGTCATTTTTTTATTTGACAGTCTAAAGGACAAGAGGTCAGTGCTCCAGAATAAATAGTGAAGTATTGCATATTTTAAAAATTCTTCTGGCACACCAGTTGAAAATTGCTGGTCTAAAGCACTGTGGTAAATTTGAGATAATTTTATGAGGTACTTAATATAAATACCTTCAGTTTATAGATGAGGAAGCAAAAAAGGAGTAAGTAAGCTCACCTGAAATCAGGCAACTATTAAGTAATAGGTGTGGATTTGAATCTAGGCAGTTTGGCTCCTAAATCCATGCTCTTCACCATTAGACTATACGGGCTACCATTATTATGCATTATTAAAAATAGGTGATCATCCCTTTACATGCCAAAAAGCACGTTATTTGTACTTTTATTTAGTATTTGAGGTTATACGTCTGACTTTCCAACGAGACTGTGTGTTCTTTTGGAGCTTTATATTCCCTCTAAACTTATCATAGTAATTTACACACATATGTCTAATTTCCCAAACTAAAATGTTTTAGTGCATTATGTAGTGAACATCTTAAATATTTCAGTTGTGAGTGCTCTTCTTTCCTCACCTCTGGAAAAACTTGGCAAGCAGTTCCCTGTTCTTAGCTACTCCAGCTTTGCGTCCACAGTGCGGAAAGTTAAAACAAATTTGATCGAACTCCCTGTCGTGCATTTCAAAAGCATCTGCCAGCTGGGTACAGTCCACACCAAAACGTATCTTGGTACCTGAAATATATACAGGAGGATGTCTTAACAGGGAACCAGAGAAAACCCTTCCCTAACCTGGACCGTGCGAAACAACCCCGGTCTAGGCACGGAGCGCGCTTCGGGTAAAGGTTCGAGGAATGTTCAAAAGCAATACCCACGTTACTTGAATCCCCAAGTTCCCACCCTTTCTACTAGGGAATGCGCCAGGCCCTGGGCGGGGCTTCGAAGAGGGGTCGGCCTAGCTACCTCGCTCACGAAGGCGACGCAGATTCTCCCCGGCCACGGGATCCCGGGCCACCTCGGCTGGGAGCTGGAGGCAGGTGGCGGTTAGACTCGAGCTGGGATCCAGGGTCTCGCTTAATGCGGCGGCGAAGGAGAAATTTCCCTCCCCAACCAATAGGAGGCGCCGAGGGGCCATGGCCCCAACGAGCTCCCTGCTCGGGTTCCACTAGGAAGCGCTAGTTTTTGACGTCACTTCCTCTTGCTGCTCCCGCCTCAGCCAGCGCTTGTTGATGACGCAACATAGCGCTTGGACGCGTTGACAACCTAGTACAACAACAGCCAGGGAGGAAAATAGCAATGAGTAAAACGCGAGACACCGACCGCGCCGTATGTCACCCCTCCAACACCCCTTCGGAAGTGTCAAAACAAATGCCTCTTAGCCCGAGGGTGGTCCTGAGCGACTTCATCCTACTTGCAGGAGGTCACAAGCAGTCAGTAACGCGGAGGGGCAGGCCGAGGGAGAGGCGAGTTCTGAGTGATGGAAGCGGGTCTGGGCTCAGGCCAAGGAGAAGTTAGGCCGTGTTTTGTACTTTCCTCTCATAGAGGACTTTATAAATCATCTCATCCGAAGTGGCTGTTGCCTACTGTCTCTGCTGCTCGGAATTTCTCCAGTTGGTTCTATCTCCTGCCTTTTATTTATTCAAGAAATAGTGCCTAAAATATTGAAATCCCCTTACGATACTAAAAGAAAGATGAAAAAAACCAGAGCACCTGTTATGTGCCACTGTGAGGATGGTTAGATAAATATTTAAATGAGCAAGATGGAGCTTATGGTTTCACTGAGCTTGTAGTCCGGCGAAGGATGCACAGCAGCAAGGGCAATTCTGATATAATGCGATGTCATGCTCTAAGTGGGGTAATTCAGGGTGGGGTCGTGCTGGACATGGCTCCTCCAATCCCCCATTAATGGAAGGCTGGCCCGAGGGCCCCTGGCCGGAAGGAATGTGCATTCTTTTAGAAATGGATTGTAATTCCCTCCTCCTTACCTCCTTTTGGGAGTGGCCTCTTGTCCTGCGTGACTGCTTTTTGACCTTTTCTTTTTGCACGTACACCTGCGGTAATACAGTTTAGAGTCATGTGCAAAGCACGTGACCCCTTTGGGACACCTTAAAAAAAGTCTGGAACTAAGGGAGGTGTGGTCCTGCTGCACAGATCTGCCGCCATCAGTGCTCTCTGTAATGTGAGTAATAAACGCTATGTCTGCTCCATCCAGTCGTCCTCGTGGTGTTTTCGGCTTATCGGAGGGAGCAGGCGCCCCCCCCCCCCGCCTGCCGTCGACCTTCTGTGTTATAGGCACACAGAAGAGAAATCTTACCAATTGGGGGGGGGGGGGCGGGGGGAAAAGTGAAAAATTTCCTGGAGTTGAAACTTAAGTTGGAAGCTGAGGGGGGCAAAGTACACTTTACCAGCGGGCTAAGAGGAGTGAAGGGGCAAAAGGAACAATATATGCGAAAGCATAACGGAGAAAAAGAACTGTTGAGTTTGGCTGAAATGTAGTTGGAGGGAGAGTGGGTAACACGTGAGGCTGAAAAATGAAGCAAGGGTTGGGTGATCTAGAGCATTATAAACCACTGTAACAGCCTGAACCTTATTCAGAAACAGTGGTAGATACTGAAACATTTTAAATTTGTAGGAAAAAGACACACTTACATTTTCATTTTTGAAAGTCCTGCTTTTTTGTGGAGGAGGACTCAAGAAGAACTAGGTTGATGGCAGGGAGATCCTATAGGAGGCCACAACAGTAATAGCATCCAGGGCTGATAGTGGCTGAATTGGAACTTGGCAGTGGAGTGGAGAGTAGTGGGCTGATTCAAAAATCAACAAGATTTAGTGATTGGATGGGTGTAAAGTGTTGAAAGAGAAATTAGTGTCAAAGATAAGCCCCAGGTTCCAGGAGTAGACAACAGAGTGGATGGTGGTATCCATCCTACAGCCCCAGGAGAGTATGGCCTTGGTCTGCAGTTTGAATACTAAGCCTGTTGGACTTTGGGGCCAGCTACTCTTCAGTCATCAAGCTGTTTGTTGACATCAGTGCATGCCTCTATCTTCACAAAGGCAGATGGTGTGAGGACAGTTACCTTTAAACCTACAGTATTAGTTTGGTCCCTACCTGTGGAAAGGTGGGTGAGTGGTGACTCCCAAATCATGGCCACCTGGTCATGGTGATTTGGGTGATGTACATTTCTTTCTTTACTTGGAGAACTCAGAGGGCCAGATTTGGTGACATCTCTTCTTTTAAAGGACATGGACCAGAAGTGGAAGGCTTTCTGTCACTTTCCTATAGAATTTACAAACAACAAAAGTTACTCAGCATCAGATTACTCTTCTTTGGGAAAGGTATTGTCCTGCTCCTAAGCCAAGAAACCACTCTTTTTAAAGTTATTATTATTTTAATCTTTACCCAAGGATATTTTTATTGATTTTAGGGTGGGGTTGGGGGGAGGAGAGAGAGAGAGACATTGATGTGAAAGAGAAACACTGGTTGCCTCCTGTATGTTCCCCAACCAGGAATCAAACTCATGACCTAGGTATGTGCCCTCACCAGGGATCAAACCTACAACATTTTTGGCATACGGGATAATGGTCCAACTGAGCCACCTGACTATGGCCAGATATTCTCATTCTCTCTCTCTCTCTCTCTCTCTCTCTCTCTCTCATCAATAATAAAAATGGGTAGGCTTTTGATTTCCTACAAAACTGAAATTCAGACACCGGTCATCCGGTATGTTCAAAGAACTGTCGGTTGAGAGGGCAGGCAGAAGGAGAAGGTGTTAGAATGAGTAAGACACAGATCCTGTCCTCGGGATTCTACAGTTTAAGGGATTCCACACATGCTTCAAGAACTCTTGACACATGGTAGAAATTATAAATACAGAAAGATAGGAACATGAAGTACTGTGTGAGACAAACAAAGGCATATGGAATAAGTGGCATTTGAACTGGGCCTAGAAGGAAAGAAACTATAATTTACTGTTCTCTAGTTTTTCAGTTCTCACTTGTCTCTATTATCTTGGTAGCAATACTCTTAGTTCTTAAATTCCCATATCTCCAAATGACCTGAACATTTAGCTAGTATGTAGTATTGGGGGTACTAAAGTTTTTTCTATCTTTTCGAGGAAGACCATTTGATTTTTACAGTCATTCATTGCTGCTGAATGAGAGGGTAGCTCAAAGGACTTGTGGACCTGGAGAAAAGGACACAGAATGACAACAATTAATTTGTGAGGAAAGTCTAGATTATTAGTAAGGTGTGCTTGTATTGTACTTGGCCAAGGATAAAAAAGGGATGTCTTTTCTGCTCTCTGATTTGTGTAACAAGCTTATCTGTTCTCACCTTTTCCCAGACACAGTTCCTCACCTGTTTCCTTACAAACCCACACTATGGCAGCCTCATTAATGCAGATGGCCATGCTGAAGTGTGGACAGATTGGAATGATATGTCCAAGTTTTTCCAGTATGGATGGAGATGCACCACTAATGAGAATGCCTATTCAAACCATACCCTGATGGGCAACTGGAACCAGGAAAGATATGACCTGAGGAATATCGTGCAGCCCAAACCTTTGCCTTCCCAGGTGATCTTAAATTTTCTCTGTTTCCTTCTGTTAGCAAAACAAATACCAGTGGGCATGTGAAAGACAGTCATCTGATAACTTCTAATGCTGAAATCTCTCATGCTTCTGTTCAATGAAGTGGTTTGGGGAGAGCGGCAGTTCCTTAGCTGGAATATTTATTCCACTTTACTATCAAATTAAATGTCATAATATTGTAAGGTAATAAAAAGATGGGTAATACTCTTTCTCTTGCTTCGGTGTGAACTTTATTCACCTATAAAAATATATAATGTCTTCTGACTCAGCCTAGCTCTTCCCCAGTCCTTGCCCTTGTAGCTCTCCTAATCAAACAAACATTCAAAGATTATGAAAGTTGGTAGGATATAGAGTAATGAAATATAGACCTGTAGTTAATCTAAAATATGATAGAGACTGCTAGAATTCATGTCACTGTGTCCTTTATTTCCCAGTATTGGTTATAGACTCCTATGTTTTTAACCTATTACTTTTTCTTTCCAGTTTGGACACTATTTTGAAACAACATATGATACCAGCTACAATATAAAAATGCCACTTTCAACCCATAGTAGGTGGACTATTCTTTTTAATTCTTATAATCTGGGGGTCTAATTCAGGGCCTGGAATGTAGAAGGAACTCAAATAAAAGTAAACTGAATAAGTGAATAAATGAATGAATGAGTGAATGAATAATGTCTCTCTCTTCTGAATTTGTCAGGACTCACTCTAGATTTCCTTTGAAGTAGAAGTGAAATTGGTTGCTACAACTCCTTGCTATTGACTGATTTCACTTGTGTTTCCCTCTCTTTTCTTTTCTCTTAGGATTTAAGCGAGAGCCTCACTGGTTCCCAGGACATCAACCTGAGCTGGATCCTCCTCGATACAAATGCACAGAGAAGTCAACTTATATGAGTAGCTATTCAAAACCTCAAATTGGACATCACTCTGCATGTGTGTGTAGTCATAATAACTGCCCATTTCAGGGTCTAGGATTCTAAGGAAAAATAAGAAGCTTCCTTTTTCCACAGAATACAAGGGGGAACATGTTTTAAGCAAACCTAAGAATTTGGCAAACTATGGCATAGTTTCACTCTCTGAATAAAGCACAGAAAATGTTCTCTACCCTCTTTTAGCTAAGTTTTGGATGTCAAATTTTTGTTCGTTTGTTTGTTTTTGTTTTATTGATTATGCCATTACAGTTGTTCTATTCCCCCCTTCCTTCCCCTCCACCCTGCACCCCCTGCCCCCACCATTCCCCCCCTTTAGTTTATGTCCATGTGTCACACTTATAAGTTCTTTAGCTTCTACATTTCCTATACTACTCTTGCCCTCCCCCTGTTTATTTTCTACCTACCATCTATGCTACTTATTCTCTGTACCTTCTCCCGCCTTCTCCTCCTCCCACTCCCCTGTTGCTAACCCTCCATGAGATCTTCATTTCTATGGTTCACTCCTGATCTAGCTGTCCTCTTAGTTTGCTTTTGTTTTAGGTGTGGTTGTTAATAACTGTGAATTTGTTGTCCTTTCACTGTTCATATTTTTTATCTTCTTTTTCTTAGATAAGTCCCTTTAACATTTCATATAATAAGGGCTTGGTGATGATGAACTCCTTGAATTTGATCTTATCTGAGAAGCACTTTATCTGTCTTTCCATTCTAAGTGAAAGTTTTGCTGGATAGAGCAATCTTGGTTGTAGGTTTTTGGATTTCATGACTTGGAATACTTCTTTCCAGCCCCTTCTTGCCTGTAAGGTCTCTTTTGAGAAATCAGCTGACAGTCTGATGGGAACTCCTTTGTAGGTGACTGTCCCCTTAGCTCTTGCTGCTTCTAGAATTCTCTCCTTCATTTTAATCTTGGCTAATGTAATTGTGATGTGCCTTAGTGTGTTTCTTCTTGGGTCCAACTTCTTTGGGACTCTCTGAGCTTCCTGGATTTCCTGGAATTCTATTTCCTTTGCCAGACTGGGGAAGTTCTCCTTTATTATTTGTTCAAATAAGTTTTCCACTGGTGGTTGTTCCTTTCCCCCTTCTGGTACCCCTATAATTCAGATGTTGGAAAGTTTAAAGATGTCCTGGAGGTTCCTAAGTCTCTTCTCACTTTTTTGAATTCTTGTTTCTTCATATTTTCCTGTTTGGTCATTTTTTCCTTCCTTCTGATTCACTCCCTTGATTTGAGTCCCAGTTTCCTTTTCATCACTATAGGTTTCCTGTGCAATTCCAATCATTTCAATTAGTTTAGCCTTCATATGTTCCTCTAATTTGTGACTAAAATCAACCAGTTCTGTGAGCATCCTGATGACCAGTGTTTTGAACTGTGCATCTGAAAGTTTTGCTATTTCTTTGTTGCTTAGATTTATGGGCTCTGGGGCTTTGAGATCTTCTTGAGCCTTTTTTGGTTTGTTCGTGCCTGTTAAGTATGAGGAGGGGAGCCTTAAGTGTTCACCGGGGCTGGGCCGCCCAGTTCGCTGGGTTGTGACGCTGTATGTGGGAGCAGGGTCAGAGTGGGGAAATGGCGGCCCCCCTCTGCTGCCTCTGGCTGCTGGGGCCTGCTCCGTACCATCTCACTGCCCACTCCCTTGCTGGTCTATCTGTGCACGAATGTGCACCACAGTCAACCCGCCGCCCTGTGCCCTCACTGGGTCCGCAAGTTGTTCACTGGGTTGCTCACTGGGTCGCTCACTGAGTCCACCCATTGCAAACCCACACCTGGGATACGTGCACCTGAGTTCATCTGACCGAGTTTTCCTGTGCAACCCTGCTCTGCCGGCTGCTGGCTTCGCCGCTCTTACCGGTCAGGCCGAAGGATTTGTTGTTACCAGACTTCCGAAAAGTTCAATTTTCTGTGTTCTGGCTGTGTATTCTGTTGCTAATATTTTGTTGTCTCTAAACTTGGTTATGTGAGAAAGCACGGCATCTCTACCTATGCCTCCATCTTGGTGGAAGTCCTACTGAATGTCAAATTTAAGTCGATTACTTTTATTAGTTATTCCTTAAGGATGCTGTAGAAAGGCAATAAAAAATTATCTTTCAAATCTTCAACCAATCTGATCTTCCCTGTCTTCCATCAGAGCAAAATTTAGTAAAACTTAGGCTACATTTGGCTAGATGCTCTCTGGATATGAGTCTGATAGACATGGTCGGATAGTGTAACTTTAATGTGATCTTAATGAACATTCCTCTTAAGGACTAGAAAAAGAAAAATATTTTTTTATTTTATGAAGAATTCAAGACAGAAAAAGTAGAATATTATAATGATTTTCCATCTTTAAGTATTTATAACCAATTTTATTGGCCCTACTTTTTCTGTTTTTTTTTTTAAATTAATTTTGGAGAAGATCTCAGAACTAATATGGTTTTACCTACAAATATTTCCATTTATATTTCAAAAATATATGGCTGTCAATTTTTTACTCCTCATAAACATTACCACCGGAACCTGTTGATCAAACAAATCTGAGTTATTAAACCTATAGCAAGGAAGAACATCAACTTCTCAGAGTCTTAGTAATGATTCGAAAGTAAAATATTTGGGTAAATTATTCTCAGGAATATGGGATAAGGGATCATTTGGTTTAACTTTAAGATGGGTCTTTGTAAGTAGGAAACTCATAAGGATTGAGAAAAGGTGGTGATTAGTTTAGGGTTTGTGAACCCATAGAGGCAACAGTCTTAATTTTAGAATGGCTAAACTTAGGGAAATCCAAGATGGCTGTAAAGGAGGCAGAAGCTACACTCACCTCCTTCCAGGACCAAACTGAAATTGCAACTAAAGTATAGAACAATCAACCCAAATATTGAACTGAAGACTAGATGAAGAGAAGTCTTATAACCAAGGATTTGCAGAAGAAGCCACATCAAGACTGGTAGGAAGGTTAGGAATTACACAAAGGGCTAGACCCACTGCCATAAGCAGCAGCTGAGATTCTGAAGGGACAGCTCAGCTGCAGATTCCCCTGAGAAGCAGGGGGTTTCAACCCCAAACAAGGCTTCCCAGCCAGAGTACCAGAGCTGAAAAGAGGTGCCCATATAACATCTGGCTGTGCAAACCAGCAGGGATTCTATTTGCCAGGAAGAGGCAGGAGCCCACTAGAGACACAGGTACCCTCTTAAAGGGCCAATGCACAAAATCTTGTTCATAGCTACTCATCCTGGACTCTGGCAGAGGGAGGACAGAGGACTGGAGTTGCATGAGGAGACTCTGGGTTTTGTAGCTCAGCTGAGAGAGAGCTGAAAGGATAACCACCAGGATCCCTATGCTGAGTTCTCCTGTACTGCAGATGTCATCTTTCTTGGCTGGAGCACTCCCCTTCATATGGCATCAACCTGGGGGAAAGCAATACACCCACTCCCTGAACTTTTCACCCCACCCTGCAGAGTTTGTGCACTGCTGAGGAGTCAGGTGCCAAGGCCAGAGTATAGAGGTCTGGGCAAACTCAGAGGGTGTAGTCACTGAGTTATGTGGCTTTGGGGCAAGGGTCATTACCATCACTTTCCTGTGAAACTGCCTTGTTCCAGCCCCTAAAATCTGGCACAGACTGAGTTGGGTGGCACCTCCCACTCAAGGGAGATTCACTAGCCCCATTCTCTCGACTCCTAGTGGCCTCATCCTGCTGAGATAGGATTCCTGGCAGAACCTGTCACAGGCTGAGTAGTGTTGCTATAGGACAGGGGCTATTTTTCTCTCACACAACTGAACAATGAAGAGCCCTCTCTTCACACAACCAAATCTTGGTCTGTTTAGGTCTCCCCCTGATTACTCCCTAAGAGCCCACCATACCACAAAGGTTTGCAAGCACCCATTAGGTGGCAGCTAAACTTAGTATACCCTAAGACATTTGCTGAGTGGTATCAGACCCAGTGCTGGTACCAAGTTTGAACCTGTATTAGTATGGTGAATACTACTTGCCCCTAGCTGGTGAATCACTGAGAACCTACCTCATGCAACTCAAGTACTGACAGAGGCTTTTACAATGATTGAGCAGAACAGGCAGCCAACAGGTGAAGGCAGGCAGAGGTGAAACTTGGGGTAGCTTGGGAATTTTTCTGACTTGCCCCTGGGACCAGTGTTGATAAAAGCTGGCCTTGCTGTTTAGCTTGGTCCTTTGTGCATACCCAGGCCCAGCAGAGGCAGCCATAAACTGTGAATCACTTTGTAGCTCTGAACAGATTGCCCAGGGAAAATCTGACAGATTGCACAGGCAGCATCTGACATTGGTCTGAATCACAGTCCCTCCCAAGAGATCCTAGAACCAATATATCCAGTTACAAACTTCAAACATCAGAGCAGGATCCAATTAGCTTTACAAGTATCATATCCAAAAGCAGATCTCAAAAGGTACCAGACACAATTTAAAAGTTAATAGGGAGGCAAGATGGCAACGGAGTAGGACGGAGCAGATTCCAGTTCCTTGTACACAAGGGAGAGTCCTGTCTGATCGGCGGAGAAGCACAGGCAGCCAGCAGTTGCTCAGCATGTATAAAAATAAGGGACAAGAAATCTGACAGTCACGGAGGATCCAGAAAGTAAGGAGACAACTGAAGTACATTAGAGTCTCGGGGACAGAGCAAAGACAGGAACAGCAGGAAATTTGGAGAGTGCACAGTCCGGGGACCAGTGCCCGGTGCGCAGCACGCTTTGGTGGGTGCCCAGTGCGCCTGGGTTGGGACCCAGCGCTCCAGACTGGTTCCGTGCATCTCCCTTGGATTTGTTGGGAGTCGTGGGCCTGCTGAAGGGACCAGAACAAAGACAGAAGCAGAAGGGTTTTCCACTGCTGCACAAGCCGGGGACCAGTGCACGGCTTGCTGCGTGCCTTGATGAGCACCCAGCGTCTCTAGGTTGGCGCCCAGCGCCCAGACTGGCTTCCAGCTTTGGGCGCATCTCCCTCAGACTCTTTGGGAGCCCTGGGCCTGCCTAAGGGTCCTTGGGAAAGAGGTGGGACCCTCAGCTCCCTCCCTTTCTGGCCAAGCAAGGTTGGGCGCTAGGAGAGACTTGTCTGCTAGAGTTTGTGGAGAGGTTGCAAAGGACAAAAGGCCTCAACCGCGGACTCTGTGGTAGCCAGCCCCAGAGAACTGATAGGCACAAGTGGGGCTCTGACTCCGATAGACACAGCCGTCCAGTCTGCTCCCCACCCAGCCTGGCAGCGAACCCGAGATTGGGCAGAGGGCCTGGAGTTTCCCCACAGAACTGGGGCAGGTCTGTGCTCCATCCCATGGGAATCAGGCAGCCTGGCTGGCGCAGGCGCCCACGTGCCCCGCAACCCAACCCAAGGTGGTAACCCCTGGGAAAAGAGTGCTGTGAGGAAGTCCTAGATCTCCATCAGTAGGGAGCTGGGGAGAGGCACCACGGTTTGGCTCCTGAGAGAGGGTTGAAAAATCATAATAATCGACCCTCAGCCAGCTGCAGCCAGAAAAACAGGTTTGGCCAGTTTGAAACCAACAAGCCACATTTCTTTCTTTCTTTTTTTTTTTTCTTTTTCTTTTTTCTTTTTTCTCTTTTTAAGTAATCTGTTATTTTAAAAATTTTATTATATTATCTTTCAGTAATTTTTCTTTTTTTGTCTTTTCTGTTTTATTCCATCTTCCTTTCTTTCCAAACGTATCGCTCCTTCCTCCACTCTCCTGCATTTTTCCCTTTTCTTTTCTTTCTTTTACCTACAAGAGACACAAACAACTTGAAACTGCGAAAAGGCTAGAGCTGGACCCAAAGAAGAGGCTTCCCAACAGTAGAGTCAGAGACAAATTTCACTTTGCTGTAGGTGAGAAGCCACAAGTTGCTGCATATTTGTATAATTATTAAGTTTTTCCCATTATTCTCCCATCTTTTTTATTTTAATAATATCTTTGTATTCCTCCTCTGTCTGTATAGGCTTTTTTTTGCCTTGGCTGGTTATATTTTATCATGTGACAGGTTTCCCCTGTTCTCTCACACACAGTTTATTGCTAATTTTTTATTCTTCATGTCACTTGTGTTCTGTTAGCACACTACCCAAAGTTCCATACCCCTTATTCAGACAGAACACGTAGAGTCTGTCATATGATTGTTGCTCTAATATTATTGTAAATAATAGCTATTGTATACAACTGTAAATACTTCACAACACATCTCCTGGATCTTAGTCCACTTCACAGTTTCCTGAATTCTATCGCTTGAGTAATTAACTCTACACTACACCTGTTTACTATCCTTTACTCTCACCTTACCCCAGAATCTGACAGACCACAAACTCACTGCTTTCTAGATCCCACTCACTAGTCTTTTCAACAAGAAACTTGTCTTGTATCCATCCTTTCTTAAAAGTGGCAAGTTGGGTAGAAGATTACAGTTAACACTATATATAGCCTAAAGATCTTCTATCTCTTCTCTACTGGCTGTGACTGTAACGATCATAAAATAATCTCTCACTGTCATAAACCATTTTGCCTCCTTCTCCAACTGATCACACACACAAAAAAGGAGTAGGTAGAAGCGGAGAACAAAATAACTGAAAGAGACTGCACCACTGAATTTCACAGGCACTCCACCACAGAAGTTCACACCATAACCCCAGAGAGTCAGAACAGATCAATTTAAGAAGCTTAGGCTCACAAGAAAACTCCCACAAACAATGAGAAGACAAAGAAACAATTCCCAAATGAAAGGAAAGGAGGAACCCTCAGAAAGAATGTTAGATGAAATAGAGGCAAGTCAACTATCGGATATTGAATTCAAAGCACTGGCTATCAGGAAGTTCAAAGAGCTCACAATGAGCTACCAGAAACTACAGAGGGGCTACAACAATCTCACTGCAAACTATATCAACATGAAAAAGGAAATGGAAACTATCAGCAAGGGACAAGAGGAAATGAAGAATACAATTTCTGAACTGAAGAACACAGTAGAAGGAATCAAAAGCAGAATCAATGAAGCAGAAGATCAAATCAGTGAGTTGGAGGACAAGTTAGAAAAAACCTCCCAGAAAGAGCAAGAAAATGAAAAGAGGCACAGAAAGAATGAAGAGGGATTAAGAGAAATGCAAGACAATATCAAATGTAATAATATCTGAATAATAGGAATACCAGAAGGAGAAGAAGAACAAGGGATAGAAAACCTATTTGACACAATAGTGAGAGAAAACTTCCCTAACTTTGATGAGAGAAAAAGTCAAACAAATCCAGGAATCAAAGAGAATCTCAATCAAGAGGAACCCAAAAA